TGTTAATGATGGTTATTCTAGAATATTCTGTATACATATATATGTATATATATATAGTTGTAGAGCCGGAAGGAATTATCGAAAAGGATATTCTTTGCTCAATTGTTTTTTAATCCAAATTTTTTGCGTTTGTACCTGATATCTTGACCAGACTTGCAGATAAAGGAATGGACACAATGACCATTCACTATATACTGAAGAATCACTTTATTTACAATGTATTTTGTATAGTATATGCATATGTGAGTTTTCACTACCCAGTATATTTCGCAGTTACTGGCTACATCAATAAAGAAGTTACTTTTGATGATTGGTCATTATTTAGAAGCTTAACAAAGTGGTAATGAACTTTAAATAAGATCTTCTCCATGTCACCCTAGGAAGACTCACTTGTCGCTTCCCAATGGGGTTCCACTCTAGCACTGTCCTGCATTGCGCGTGGTGTCATTCGACTACCGCCTCAGTGTATGCCCAATCCATCTCCATTTTCTTCTACATCTTTGATGTTGGATCTTGGTTGGTTTGTTGCCATGCAGAGTTTTGTGTTACTGATTCTTTCTGTCTGGCCATTTGATCTTCACTATGAAGCCAGTGAAGGCAGCTGTTTATAAAAGTCTGCAACAGACTGTTGTGAATGCTTTTTGTGACACGCGGTGCAAGTTTCTGGCTCATATCGAAGAAGTGACTGACTTCATATTTGTGCTGAAAATACGAATTTTGTTTTCTTTGCTGAATGCAGAAGATTTCTAAACTGATTTCATATTGATGGAGGGGTTTCTTGCCTTTCTAATTCTAGCTGGCTCTAATATTTTCATCCGTGCCATCTTTCAGGGTTGAGACGATTCTTCGTAGATTAGTGAAGGAGGTAACCTCTGTCAAATCTCTCTCAACGATTGGGATTGGTAATGTTTGTTGATTATCTTCATCACCCCGTCTTCTTTATGTCCACCTGCAGTCCTGCCTTCGCTGTCTGCCTCTTCAGCCAGTTTATTGGTTTTCGCCTGCAAGTCCACGAGTCTGCACTACGTTAAACATAAATAATCTGCGAAATCCAGATCTTCTAGAGTTTTCTTATTGGTGGTCCAGCGTATTCCTATCTCTTCGCTCCCTACAGTCTGCTGAATAGTGCAATCTGACTCAGTTATGTGTAGAATGGTAGACTATTATTAGTACGGTAAGAAATGAAAAGAGTTAAAGTGAAAATATGAGTCTAAGTAGAATTGAATCATTGGCTTCCAGGTCAATAGGTCTGTATTTTACAGTGACCAATAGAACTGCACTAACTTACACCAATTTGATTTTACAAACACTGCAAAATGTGTACATGATTAAATAGCATCATTATTTATAAATCATGAACTCCTAATGGATTCTACTTGATGATGTCTGGTGTGTACAGAAAATGTTATTCATAAGTAGACGTAAACTTATCACTTATACAAAGTGTAAAAATTTCAGTTTCAACAAATTTTTGACTTTTACAATAAGAAATATATAAGTGAAAAAAATGTTCTTTCTATGACAGTAAAACGCTACTTAAAACTCTTCATTGAGTGCTGATCGCTAGAATGTGAACCCACCAATCTTAGTAAATCTATTCAATAAGCATTTTGAAAGACAATTGTTATATTGTTTCTCAGGTATATACCATCACATTCAGTGAACATTGTTTACTGTTTTCACTCTATCATCATAAAAGCTGAGATATACTTCTGATAATAAGTATCATTTGTAGATTATTATAATTTAGTCGGATACTGTTGACTTATCAGTATGCAAAAAACTAGGAATATCTGGACTTCGCCAATGATGTATGTCTGATTTCCCACAAGCTGGAAGAAATGGAACTGAAAAGCAACAAGTTGACAGAAGAAGCATCAAAGACAGGCCTTCAGGTGAACTGTTATGTACTCGTCGCCAAATTATTGCTATGTACTGGTCGAGAATGTAATAGTCCTGATGCAAGAAAGACGGAAATCAGAAGACCACTAGGTTTGCGATGATACTTCTATTTTCCAAAACACCAGGAGAAGCAATAAGTGGTATCACACCAAAGTAGTCACACAAGATTGTGAGAGCGAAATATATATGAATGTCCAGACAAGTGTGTGAACAAATCAATAGACAGTCTTAACATGAATGGCTAATTATAATGGAGTATCGATCCATATATACATAGCAAAATATAGCAGACATGTCAACAACCACACATATAATATGGATATATGTCACCAAGCAACGGACTGTCAACAAACACTCATATTATATATAATATAAGGAGAATATACATTGTTAAAGGAGACAGGCTCATCAAAGTGAAATGGTCACAGACTAAGCGAGCAACAGAAAGAGAGATCACCATACACACACATATATATATGTATATGGAGACATACCATGAACACAGATAAAACAGAGGTGATAAAGATTCCTGACTAGCAGAAACAAGAACAGACAACAATCAGCATAAATGAAAGAAATCTGAAAGAAGCCACTTCCTTTGTCTGCCTGAAAAGCTTCGTTTCAACTAAAGGCGAGTGGAACTGATGACGATATCAAAGCGAGGATCGGAAAGCAAAGCAATCATCCATTTATCTCAAGTCTGTGTGGAGATCAACAACACTCAGCATGAAAAATAAGATCCGGATTTCCAACCTCATTATGGAGTCTGTGCTACTATGTGGATCAGAGTCTTGGCGCATCACAAAGGACACTTCAAACAACTACAGACTTAGATCAACAGCTGTCTTCGCTCAATACTCAAGATCAGATGGCCAGCCAGAAAAGATCAGTAAAAGGGATCTCTGGGAACGAACCAACCAGTAACCGATTGTGCAGCAAATATACAGGAAGAAATGAAGGTGGACTGGCCATACTCTGAGAAAACAAACCATCAAGTGACATCATACATCAGGCTCTCCCTCGAGTGGAACTCGAATGGGAAGCGAGTTGGTCGTCACTGCGTGGGTAACATGGAGGAGGTCATTGAAGAGTAGGTGATAGCATGTGGGCTGACATGGAGCCAGCTGAAAACGTTGGCAGAGAGGCGAACGCACTGGAGACGTGCGGTTGAAGTACTATGTTTCTCTAGGAATTAAAGGAAACAATAATAATAATAAACAGTACAGGGAATTAGTATCTCACATGCCATCTTATTAACAAGCTTGAAAAGTACAGGAAGTTGTAACCTAATCAGAACACATTAAGTATAATGAATTATCTGATAATCCTATCTTTATTGTCTGAGAAATGATAAATCAGGAAAGGTTAATATGTTTATAAGGTTCTGTGGTAAACATGTTAGCTGACTACGTTAAGGAAGATGTCCTACTTCGGGATAGTAGTAACTTCATGCAGATTAATTTATTGTACAAGGATTCTTTTCACATAACTACTTTTAATCAGGTCATATATAAAGAAAAAATTAAACTTCAGGCGGCACCAACGACATTGTCAAAGTCAGACATCATCAGGAAAGCAAAACGGGCGTTGTTCATCGCCATGAAATCACTGCATAGATCATGATTACCATAAAGAAAAATATCTTAATCTTCAAGACCAATGCCAAGTCAGTGCTTCTGTATTGACTCATAGAATTGGACTTATCGAAAGCTTTTCAAGCAGTTTGCAGACCGTCATCAACTGCTGTCTTCACTGGCCGGCCAAGAAGATTAAGCATCAAAGAATTCTAACAGCAAACTATTCAACGACCTGATGTTAGGCAAATATAGCGAAGCAAATACAGATGGACTAGATATATTCTGGGAGGGAAGCGATGGGTTAGTTATGAGTCTGAGGTTGATTTGTAGGAGATTGTATAAAGACGAAATGAAAGCTTTTGGACAGTCTTTAAACCACTTGAAAGTGATTACAGAGGATAAAGTGTGATCAAGGTGAAACACTGAAACTATGTTTCTCTCAGAACACAATCAAAAAATATCAAAAATTTCCTCCAATACTTGAAAGCATTTTAAAATTACAAAATGCCCATATTCAGTTCATCAGTACTTGTTTTATGAATATAAGGATAAAACTTGAGCACTGTGGTAGAGTATAACTCCATTATGCATAAGATTTTATTTTGATAAATCACACAGTGTTGTACAGTAATATTAACTGATGACGTTTCGAGTACAAATGATAGCTCATAATCATATCAAGGTACTCAAACAACTTCCTTGCTTCGTTTATATACATGAGTAAAAATTGATTACACATTCTAATACAATAATATGAGACTTGTGTGAATCAGAAAGGAAGATAATGTACATTCGGAAACAATATTAGTGCTATTAACAAAATACAGTAAGATGGGAAATAAGATGTTCTTATAGTCAAAATAAGTAACTTGTTAAGATGCTATAATGTGAATTGAATTGAATAGCTTCTGAAGTTTCACTCTGTCTCAGCCTATTGCATGGTTGTGTGTTAATACGTGCAGTGCAACTGCTGCGTTTTTTCCTCAGTTACTTATCTTCACGGGGTCAATCATTCTAACTATAGCTAAATTCCTATATTCTGATAATCCGACTACTCTTGATCTACTGGTTTGACCTATATAGTTTACTTAACTCACAGTCATTGCAAGGTATTTTTTAAGTTCTATTATTTTATCTAATTGTATCAGCCGGGTCATTTAGCCCACAGAGCTTGTCTCTGAGTGAGTTTTTATGTTCGAATGCTACTTTAATTTTATGAATGTTACCATTGATTGTGTGATATAATATGAATTCAATAAATGCTTATATCTGACAATATTCGAATAGTTTACAAAACTGTATACTGTTATTAATAAAGTTTGACTTCAATTATAATATTAATTTAAATAATGAGTGTTTTGTTATCAATCATTTATATTAAATTTATAATTTCGCCTTTCTATCGTCTCATGCGTACGCGAATAGTCCATATAATAAACAGACCAATCAGAAAAGAAACCAGTGATGTCTTTTCTGATTGGTTACCATGTATATCAGTTTTAAACAACGATGAGTGGTATATTATCAAAATCCGTTAAATATATGCAACTTGAAGGTTCCATTTTAATAACTTCCAATGGGATTAAAAAACTTAATCACTTAATATGGTCTCTGTTTAAACAAAGTTTTCAAGAATCACTCTTCACGATAATCATAAAATCATTTTAATATAAGGAAAATAGTCATAGAGCAAAATATCAAGCTATGATGAATAAGACGCTAATTAATTCAACATCTGGAAAATCAGATACAGATTTAACTTTATACAGCGAAAATAACATTGAAATTTACAGTACACTTTTTGTACAGACAACAGTATGCATCATTGGAGCGATATTGAATATTTTAAATGTGATTGTATTGAGTCGTAGACAATTTGAAGCTACACCATATTTATTTATGACTGCATTGTCATTAACAGATACTGGAATATTACTTGTCCACTTACCATCTGGTATGGTGAGGTAAATTTCATTGTTTATATTTTGAATAATCTAATTCTCATTTATTATTATTATATCCTTTAATTCCTGGAGGAACATAGGGCTTCAGCCACGCATCTCCATTGCCTTTGGTTTTCTGCCAACTTTTTCCCTCCGCTCCAAGTCTGCCCACATGCTTTCATCTCCTCTTCACATGACCTCCTCCAAGTCACCCTTCGACAACCAACTCGCCGCTTCCCTTTCGGGCTCCACTCGAGCAATGGCTTGTCATGTGATGTCACTTGATGGTTTCCTCAGAGTATGGCCAATCCATCTCCATTTCTTCCTGCCTATTTGTTTCAAAATCGGTTCCTGCTGTGTTGGTTGGCTCATTTCCAGAGATCCCTGTTGCTGATCTTTTCTGGCCATCTGATCTTGAGTATTGAGCGGAGACAGTTGTTAATGAAGGTCTGAAGTTTGTTTGAGATGCTCTTTATGATGCACAATGCAAGTCTCTGATCCGTATAGTGAGTGGCACTGACTTCACATTGGAGTTGAAAATCCGGATGTTATTTTTGATGCTGAGTGCTGATGACCTCCACACAGACTTAAGAGTAGTGAATGCTTGTCTTGTTTTTCCGATTCTGGCTTTGATATCCTCGTCAGTTCCGCCTGTAGTTGAAACAATGCTTCTCAGTTAGGTGAAGGAGGTTGTTTCTTTCAGGTTCCTCCCATATATACTTATTGTTGTCTGTGGTTGTTGGTGTTGGCCAGGAATCTTCATCACCTCTGTTTTCTGTATGTTCGTCTGAAGTCCTATTTTCTCTGGATGCTTCTTCTACCAGACATAATCTGTTGCTTTAATTCTGATTCAGCTTGTTTCTAGTTGGTTTGATTTCATCTCTAATGTTTCACTGAAGTAAAGATGACTCTTGCCTAATGAATTTATTCCCCACTCATACTTTACACATATCAGGAGGTAATTTTCAACTGATAGAAAGTTTCTGTTTTTACGTAAGTTCTCTGCCTACTGACACTTATCAACAGTTTCGGTTTGTAACACTAAGGAGACCCGTAAATTTTTTAAATAAGAAAGCAAGTTTTCACTGTCAAGATCATGAATATTACCAAGAAGTTTTTCAGATTCTTTGTGACATTTCATAGGACAATTCTGTGGGTGCAAGTTAGTCACTAACTGCTAAGGAATACACAGCTTTTACATGTATATTTATGCAAGTTATGATCAGACAGGCAATAGATTGAGCGAAAAACTGAAATACCTGGTAAATTAGTGCCCAGAAACAGGAAATATGAATCAAATAGTGTTTCCAATCATTTGGCTCTTTAAATCTTAGGCAAAAGACTCAAGTGTACTACCGATCGACAGACTTCGATCAACAAGAAATTACTAATCAGCTACATTATTCATTACCAAAGGTCACTTTCTGTATTTCTAAGAGTTTTAGAACATCAACGATAAAATGGTTTTCTTCTACTAACGAAAGGAGCACTATTAAATTCAAAATTAAGGGAAAAAAAAATCAAATTTTTAGCTGGTTCTTATCTGCCGTTTAAAATTTTTGTAGTTATTTAGATCTCACAGTGTTATACAGTAATGTTTACTGATCAGTAAACATTACTGTATAACACTGTGAGACTTTATCAAACCAAAATTTACCCATAATGGAATTACACTCTACCACAGTGCACAAGTTTTATTCTTATATTTAGATCTTAATTTAAATTAATTTATTTTCACTTAGTAAATTGTACAAAATATAAATACTATTGAGTGTAATCAGTTTTTTTAATTTTCCTGCACGTTCCCAATGGAACATAGGGCTTCAAGCTAGAGGCTTGAAGTTTCTGTAGCAGTATTTATTTTTTACAGGATGGGGTTGCTAGCCTCATACCAAACCTTTCCTCTTCACCAGTCTCACTACTGGCTTAGCGAGGTAAAGGAGTGCGCCGGCCGGGGATCGAACCCCGGACCATGTGCATGGTCGGCGAGCGTCCTAACCGCTATGCTACCGACGCACCGAGTGGAATCAGTAGTTATAAATTATTTCACATCAATAAATGAAAACTTAATTTGAAAAATGACATTGGTTAACTTTTTTAATTATTCATTGTAACACTTCTTCAGTATACCATATTGAAAGTATAGGTTTCCGAGCAAAAGCAATGGATGAACAATGTTCAGGCCAGGTTAGTACTGGCATTGAAGACTGGCTGGGAATAGTGGATTTTGCTGGTTTTAGTTCACCAATATTTCAATAGTGGAATGCTCACCAGTCAAGCAAGAAGTTTAGGTTCGATTCCTGGCTGATGCATTCTTACACCTTGTCTAGTTTACTAACCGGTTTCAGGGTGAGAAAAGAGGGAAGGTTGGTGGTGAGGCTAGCAACCTCATGCCATAAAAAGATCATCATTGCTACTTGAACTTTAAATCTCGAAGTAATGAATTAGAAAAGGTTTTTACTTTTAGTAATTATATTGGATAAAATCGTTTTTCTTACTAGTAGGAATATATGTAGATGTTTTAGATGTACTCATAAAAGACTCTTCAAGTTTTTCACTGAAATCATGATTCTGTCTGACCAAACAAAGTATAATGTTAAGTAAAGTTAATTAATTATAAAGATATACTTTTTTATTTCCTTACGTTCCCCAGTGGAACATAAGGCTTAGAGCTAGAGCTTTGGTTTTTCAGTAGCAGTGGCATTCACTTTTACGGGATGGGTTTGCTAGCCTTATGCTCAACCTTCCCTCTTTACCACTTTTAATAATGGTTGAGTGAGGTAGAGGAGTTCCTCACCCAGAGATAAAACCCCTAAGCATCTGCGTGGTCGGTGAGTATTCTATCACTGTGCCATCGATGCACTTATCATGTAGATATATGAAACCTAAAACACTTTACGAAACATTACAGAAATGTTATTTGATACTAAGAAGACAAATATTTTTGTTACTGAAAAAAACTAACATTATTGCTAGTCAGATATTATGATAACAGAAAGGTATTAAAAAGGACAGTATCGACAGTTTTAAAACCTATTGACAACTTGAATGTACTGATGATGACTGAATTATCAGTTAGTTAGCCCATTTAAAATTAAAATACACTATGCAGAAGCTGTTTAGGAACGTCATAGCAACTGCTTTATAAGTAGGGCTTCTGTTTGCGTTACATTTCCACTTATTGATTGTGTTAGTCAATTTGAATTTATTGTAAAAACTTATCTTCATATGTTTTCATTTTGATATATGGAATAAAAGAATATTTAATGCATGAAGAGGCTAGAAAATATACTGAGTTTTAACCATTCACAAGTTTTGAGTCAGTCACTTGACACTTTTTCATGTGTACACCAGGTCGGGTTTGAAGAGAAATACTTGCCGTTAACATTCGCTAGTGGTTGTGCCATATCATCAGTTAGCAGAAGTTGGAATTCATGGATCACTGGATCGTGTCCCAGTGGTTTAATGGTCTACGAGCTAGCCTTGTAACCAGGAGGTCCTGGATTCAAAACGTGGCGTTGGTTGCGCACTGCTGAATCGGCCCAAATTAGGCTGACGAAACAGCTGGCTATCCAGTACTCCTAGGTTTTCTAATGGTTCTTTAACTGATGTCAGTGCATAAATAAATTATAAAATTGAAAAGCTGGTAACTAAAAAGAAGTAATTAGCATAAATTTATTTAAACTCTACATTAATCGGTAACTGCCCACAAAACTGGAGAATTATTTAATTTGTTTACTTTCAATCTGTCGGAATAATTAACGTCAATTGAGAGAATAAAGCATACTTCATCATATCAATGAGAAACACTTCAAATTTCTGGATAATTAATGCTAACAGAGAATTCATTGAGAAGACAGTTTCTTTGCAGAGTAGAGGTTTTTCCTTTTTCTTCTCTTTTGATGGACAGCACATTATAGATCTCTTTTTGTCTATTAAAATATTCTTAGGTTTCATTTGTTCAAAGTAAAAGGATTATTTCCCAAGTACCTGTAGCTTAACTTAACTTTTATGTTGACCTGAAGGATAAAATGTTAATAAGATTATTCTTTGAGCGTATTAAGTAAGACAGTTACTGGGTCATACTATATTTCCGGAAGCAATATTCTGAAGTAACCTTGCAGTTGAAGGAGGTTTTCTAGCTCTCTCACATATATCATGAAAATTATCAGTTCTTATTCTCATGATGGTTTAGTTGGAAGCTTATCCAGTTTAAAGGGAGCTATTAACTATTAGACATTAGGAGGCAATCTGAAGGAAGTTTTGGACCTTGGTTTCGCTCTGGTTGACACTCCTCAACCTCAAAGGAACTTGATATGTATCCACATATATATATTTATGTGTGTGTGTATGTTGGTCTCTCTTTCTGTTTGTCTGTGACCATTTCACTGGTATGAACTTGTCTCCTTTAACAATGTATATTCTCCTTATATTATATTATATATAATAGGAGTGTTTGTTGACAGTCCATTGCTTGGTAACATATATCCATATATGGTTGTTGACATGTCTGCTATATTCGCTATGTATATTTGTATCGACACTCCATTATAATTAGCCATTCACGTTAAGACTGTCTAATGATTTTTCCCACACTTTGTCTGGAACATTCATATATATTTCGCATTCACAATCTTGTGACTTTACTTTACAACTACTTTACTTACTTACCACTTTGGTGTGAGACCATTTATTTTCGTCTCCTTGTGTTTGGACAATAAAAGTATCATCGCAAACCTAGTGGTCTTCTGATTTCCGCCTTCTCGCGTCAGGACTATTAGATTCTCGACCAGTTCATAACAATAATTCAGCGACGAGTACATAACATGTCCCTTCTGAGATTCGAACTCGCGTCATCCATTGCTGCAGTCAGAGACGTTATCGCTGAGCTATTTCGGCTCGCGATTGACTTTCGGTAGGACTGCAGTGGGTATTTTCATTGGACACTAGTAACTAGTGTGACGTTTACAGCCCTTTCTTTGGTGCGGACTGAATTCTGTCAGTCAGGTTTGCAATGTGGC